ATTGGGACTTTTTTTTTCCTTTTTTTTGTGGGGGATTGGAACTCCACCGATGGCAGTGGTAAACGGGATTTGCGGTCAGATGCGGTCCCAGCTTCTTTTTTTTTAATTTTTTTAAATTGTTTAATTTTTTTTATTATTTTTTACGGTCCCAGCTTCAGAGCATAGTTGCGGCGGCACTCGCCATCCGCCACGATCTTGAATGAATGTAAACGCGTTTATTGTCGTGATGCATTCAAAGCTTCGGCCGATAGGGAAAGCGGTGCAACTACGGGCATCGCCACACCACTCTCGAAATGTGCAAAAGGAGAGCGAACTTCCCTCTAAAACATGGCCAGATGCACCCGCCACTTTTTTGTCGTTTTCACATTTCGAGAGTGGTGTGGCGAGGCCCTACGGTAGGCCGTCAAGCTCAAATTGCGGGCGTCGCCACACCACTCTCGAAATGTGCAAATTGAGAATGAACTTCCCGCTAGAACATGGCCAGATGCGCCTGCCAATGTTTTGTCTTTTTCGCATTTCGACACAGTGGTGTGGCGAGGTCCTGCCAGTGTGCGAGTGCATGGGCTCAGATTTGCGGTAGTCGCCGCGCGTATCTGCCCGCAATCTTGCCGCGCATTTGGAGCAGATTTGCACCGCCCGCTTTGCTCCCGTTGCGCGCGGTTCTCCGCTTGCGCGGCTTTCCGCTGCTTCGCCGCCGCTTAGGTGTCCGTCGTTGCCCGTCGTACAAATGCCGCGCATTTGCGGCGGCACATGTGAAAAAAAACCCCAACACCACAAACCGCGGGGTCGAACCCGTGTTCCGCCGCTAGAGGAGGATCTCTCGTCGTTCATCCCCCGGTTTCTCTCCTCTACTCGGCCTTCCCCCTCCGCTTTCGACACTTTCCACTCTTTCTTGTGCGAGAGAGAGCACCCACCATCTCTCCCAATCACCCTCCTCTGTCCCGAAGACAAACCGCCGTGTCGAACCCATGTTCTGCTGCTGCTACACTAGAGCTGGATTTTTCTCGACGTCCATCGCCGGTTCCTCCCACTCGGTCGTCGCTTTCGACTCTTCCTTTCTCACGAGAGAGCAGCCTGCCATCTCCCCCTATCAATCTCCCCCTCCCCCCCAAACAATCCGTGCATCTCCTTACTCCTCTTCTCCATTCTTCAGATCTCCTTTCGTAGACTATCTGTTCCCATGGATCGGTATCGGATCCTTCCTCCTTCATGCTTCCTCCTTACTGCCTCTATGTGTTGCCATAGACAGATCTTTCTTGTTGTCTGATCTGCTTTCTCCCCTCTCTCTCCCCTCTCTCTCCCCTCTCTCTCTCGTCTCCATTTCCGTCTAGCTGAGCGGAACGAGCCGCTTTCTTTGGGGTGCAACTCGCCTTTTGATTAGTTCTTGTTTGCGTGATTCTGGCGCCCATAGAGAACAGACGAGAGAGAGAGAGAGAGAGAGGAGGGAACGACCGGCGTGTGTGCGACACGTCAATTTGTGTTTGTGTGTGTGTGTGTGTGCGACGTAGCGAGACAGTCCATCAACGGCTGAGAGCCAAGCGCTCGGTCTTTGTAACTCCATAACACAGTCACAGTTTCCCTTTAAAAAAAAAAAAAAGAGCATTCGAAAAATAGAATAATTTTGGAAACAATTAGACGCGACGTCAATCCGGTTTGACTTGTATGACACCCTGTATTCGCTCTTGAGAGCCACGTGACGAGATCCAATCGCTGCTCATCACCTCTCAGCGTGATACTCCTTCCTCCTGCCCATCGCCCCACAGGATTCATGTCGCCCCTTCTTTCAATCCTCCGTATTTCGTTTGCGTCTAATTGTTTCATCTCTGTACTTGCCGTGATGACCAACTTCGGTTCATTGTCACGGTGACAATGTACTACTGTAAGAGACTTGATTGTGACAATAGTAGTGTCAGCGTCAGGGGAAGTAAGACTCGCATCGCAGACACATGAACGTGTGAAGGCGATTGATTGGTCGTTCACCAACGATCTGGTCAGCCCCCTCTTCCGATTACCTGTCATTTTTAATCGATCTTCGCGCTCGATATTTCCTGTGGAGCAACATTCCTCTGCAAACCCGACACACACACACGACAAAAAGCAGAGAGAGAGAGAGAGAGAGAGA